CGACTAAAAGCTTTCACTATCAGTATTATTCCCGTGGAATCTTACTGATTTGCTGTAATTGCATCACTGTCTTTCTTTTCGTTTCAAAACTGGATCGACTCCTTGCTGACTGGATCTTCTGTTTGTCATCACTGGGCTCTATCTTCGCCAGCCGTCGTCGTGCTACTGTGATAGCTGCCAAATGGATGAAACAGGTTCTCTCTATCTATTTGTCATAGTCTTAATCAATTTATCAACATTCTGAATGTCTTTTGCTGCTCCTGCGACGGCAGTGTCGGTATAATGTTCGATGACGGCAAAGCTGCGAGAATCCGGTAGTTAAGTTTCACAGAGAATCTCGTCACGGTACCCAACGCGCATGCTTTTTCATCCTGGCCTTGTACCAGCAAAGGCCGGAGTTACAAAAAAATCTTCTGCCATAAAATCTTCCTTACGTGCTTCTTACGATTTCATTTTCTAAGAAAATACTGTCAACTCTACAAATAAAAATAATACATAAATAATACCGTAGATTAACCTGGTGCAAATATATGGATGGAATCTGTTCCAGACTCCATTTGTCTTTTGCCGAAGCTCAGACTCTGGCACAAGATCGAGAACGTTGGAAGCTCTGTCTGACGCGTCTGCCTCCGCAACCGGAAAGGAGAAGCGGCAATGGAAGGTGAAGATGAAGTAGTACTGTCCTAAACTGGCTTAAACAACGTCTTAGCCCCTTACCGCTAGCTAGCCGACCGTTTCAGGGGTCATGACAAGCTTTAACATGCTTTAAAGGCCGGAAATTATAACAGAGTTCACCATCTTCGCTTTCTCATGTAATCCCATATTCGATCATTGCCTTTTCTCCCTAACCAGGATCTGCAGATTAAGCTTTTAGAAATTTAATGTTTGGTATATAGTTAATCAGTGTGTGAATAAGCGATAATAAAATCAGAAATGTTATCATTTTCCAGCAGAAATACAGGTGAAATTTTAAGTTAGCTATCAAAAGCCAATTTTCGATACCGCTGGTCAGCATTAAATATAAAGTGGCCACTCAGGTTCGCACTTCATAGTCCGATTAATTACCTTTTTATCTTTGAATTGATATTTCAGTGTAATCCTTCCCTTTTTAAAGGATAATGGTTTTAATGTTTTTCGAAGCCTAAACTACTCAAAGGGCTATATTTTATAGTAAATTTAAGCCTCGAGCTTTGCGTATTTCTGGCATTCTAATTTGTGTAATTAATGTGCCGTTACTTGAGTTTAAAAAACTTTCAAGATTTTTGATTTGAGGTGGACAGATTGCTTTAAGTGCTTCGCTAACAATCATACTGAGCGTTCACTCGTTGCGAACCATGCCTTAGGCTTTGTGCGTAGATGTAATGCAGACTACGTGTCAACTATCGAAACAGATTTAAAGTATTAATTTGTCACTCGATGTTGAGCTCAGTGCAACGCTGTTTGTAACGACTGTGTCACTTCTTCCGATGTAACTACGTCAGTGACTATAACACCTTCCATGCATTTAATAGTGGTGCTCTCCTGATTGTTTTAAATACATTGCTGTGTGTT